ACAGCCACACACAACCATGCCTGGATAATTTTCTTTTTATTTTTTGTAGAGACGAGGTCTCACTATATTGCTCAAATTGTTCTAAACTCCTGGTCTCAAGCAATCCTCCCACCTTGGCCTCCCAAAGTTCTGGGATTACAGGCATGAACCACCGAGCCCAGCCTACCAGCAGATTTTTGAGCAGAAGGCCTGCAGGCCAGGGCCAGGTGTGGTGTCTCACACCAATACTCCTAGCACCTTGGGAGGCCAAGGTGAGCGGATCACTTGAGGTGAGGAGTTTGAGACCAGCCTGGCCAACATGGTAAAACCCCGTCTCTACTAAAAATACAAAAATTAGCCAGGCATGGTGGTGCTACTCGGGAGCATGAGGCAGGAGAACTGCTTGAGCCCAGGAGGCAGAGGTTGCAGTAAGCCGAGATTGCGCCACTGCACTCCAGCCTGGGTGACGGAGCGAGACTCTTTCTCAAGTAAAAGAAACCCTCCAGGCCAGAAGGGAGTGAAGTAATATATTCAAAGTGCTAAAATGGAAAAAGCTGCCAACCAACAACAGTACATCTGGCAAAACTGTCCTTCAAAAATTTTTAAAAATTAAAACTTTCCCAGATAAACAAAAGCTGAGGAGGTTCATTACCACTAGGCCTGAGCTGAGATCCGGCCACTGCACTCCAGCCTGGGTGACAGAGCAAGACTCCGTCTCAAAAAAAAAAAAAAAGAAATACTAAAGAGACTCCTTCAAGTTGAAACAAAAAGACATTAGACAGCAACACAAAACCATAGAAAAATATAAAACTCTCTGGTAAAGGTAAATATGTAGATAAAATATAGAAATAGGCCAGGTGCAGTGGCTCACACCTGTAGTCCTAGCACTTTGGGAGGCCAAGGCAGGCAGATCACCTGAGGTCAAGAGTTCGAGACAAGCCTGGTCAACATGGCAAAATCCTGTCTCTACTAAAATTAGCTGGGCATGGTGGCGCATGCCTGTAATCCCAGCTACTCAGGAAGCTGAGGCAGGAAAAGTGCATGAACCCAGGAGGTGGAGGTTGCAGTGAGCCGAGATCACACCACTTGACTCCCCTGGGCAACAGAGTGAGATTCCGTCTCAAAAAAATTTTTAAAAATTGTATATATATATATAATTCTATACTATTGTAAGTAGTGTAATGTTGTTGTATAGGTCACTTTTAAGTTTGGCATAGAATCTAAAAAACAAAAGCATAAAAAATAACTATAAATTATGTTAATGAATACACAATATAGAAAGATATAATTTCTAACAGCAATGCCAAAGTGGGGGAAAGTGGAGAGGTAAAGAACTAGAATTTTTGTATGCCACTGAAGTTGAATTGTTATCAGTTTTAATTAAATTGTTATAACTTTAAAATGTTTTATGTAAAAATGGTATATTTGTTCATTCTGACCTTTGGCTTGAACTGTTTTAGTCCCATATTAGGTCATATCATGGCTATCTCCTGATTTTAAAAAAGTACCCTATCATACAAAGACTACCAAAAAAAATTAGCCATGCATGGTGGGATCATAAGCAGCTATAGTCCCAAGTAGCTGGGATTGCTTGAGTTTAGGAGTTCAAAGTTGAAGTGAGCAATGATCATACTAGTGCACCCCAGCCTGGGCAACAGAGCCAGACCCTGTCTCTAAAAAATTTTTTTAATTAAAAAACTAAAAAATAAGAAAGCAACTATCAAGTGCATTCTATTATGGATCTTTCACCATCTGATTTTTTTTTTTTTTTTTTTTTTTTTTTTTTGAGGAGTTTCACTCTTGTTTCCCAGGTTGGAGTACAAGGGTGTGATCTCAGCTCACTGCAACCTCCACCTCCTGGGTTCAAGTGATTCTCCTCCTGCCTCAGCCTCCCGACTAGCTGGGATTACAGGTACATGCCACCATGCCTGGCTAATTTTTTGTAGTTTTAGTAGAGATGAGGTTTCACCATGTTGGCCAGGTTGGTCTTGAACTCCTGACCTCAGGTGATCCACCCATCTCAGCCTCCCAAAGTACTGGGATTATAGGTGTGAACCACCATGCCCAGCCCTGAAAATGTTCCATCAATGAATGTCTATTGAGTAACTATATAAGTTAGGCATTGGAACACTAACATAAGAACTGTTAGGGCAGTTTCCTTTCCTGCTGTTAGGGCATTTCAAGAGAGAGAGACATACACACATATTACTCAATTTTGCAATGTAATTTTATTTCAATATGTGCAGTTTTCAGAGGCTCAGAAACATCTGCCTAAAATCATGATTAACAGAATCTTAAAGCTAGAAGCAGGACTCCTCTCTCAAGAAAATCATGAAGAACTAAAGCTTTCTCAAATTCCATCTTTTCTCAAGGAGCGTTAAAATATTTTGTTCTGGCAAACTTTTTACAAACAGATACATGTTTCATTCATTTTCAACATTATGAAAAAGAATATGTGATCTGAGAGATCAAAACAGATGCCTCTTTATCAATTAAGACAGTCCATAAGGTTAAGGAAATAAAACTTACTATAGCATCAAGGGGCTCAGGGCTCAGTTGGCATGACAACTTCCTAAATTCTTACCCCTAGAAGAAAAACTACACTCTTGCTAAACTCCATACCAACAGGAGCTATCACAGCCCTCCTGACCCTGATTTACATCCCAGACCACTGCAACTCTGATTCAACAGAGGACCAGCCTTACAAACCTTCTTTTATGAAAAGCAACTGCAGACCTTAAGCCAGTTTCTGCCAGCTTATACAGGCTGCTCATGAACTGTCTTTGTGCCCTGTAGTTCACTTTTGATGTAGAGCCAAACTCCACCTTATTTTAATGCTAAAACCCCATCCCAAAGTGAACATGGGAAGTACGTTACATATATGTTTGCCCATTGCACATGTGCTTGACTACCTTCATACATATGTACAGCTTTTCCCCCAAAACCTGCTGAATACGTATTACTTTATTGCGTGATACAGGCCCTGGGAGGCCTAAAATCCAGCCTGCGCTTTCCCTCTTCGAAGAAAGAGCACCTTCAGTCCACTCCAGAGACTCTCTTCCCAGTTCGCTAACTGACATCACCAGTAAAACTCTCCTTTCTACTATTTTGCCATCCTGAAGGTCTTTTGGACAACAGATGGAAGCATATTACTTATACTCCCAATTAATGCCACTAACTGAAAGTGCCAGGTTGTGAAGTGAGGTATGACATGCTTAGGGCTCCCTGGTGGCTCCAGAGGGCAGACCACAAAATGATATCTATGCTCCTGGGTTACACAGTGGGGACATCAGGATGTGACATTTTTGCACACAAATTCTCCATGCTACTTTTAAGAGAAAGACATAAATGACAAGTTGATTATCAGGGATGATGACTTTTAAAGAGAAATGATCAGGATTTGCCATAGGTACAGCGGCCTTAATTCGAACTAAAAATTCAGGTCAGATGGTCGGGCAAGTAGTACATATATATTGTAAGAATAAAACCAAATTTTTTAAATTTCAAGACTTCTGGTCTGTACAAAGGTCAAGAGAGTCAGCCCAATATAGATTATACCTAGATTATAATGATAGTGATACTCACAGTAATGGCTAACACCAGAGTAATTCTCATTGTGTGCCTGGCAGTTTTCATTTAATCCTATGAAGTAGGTATACCTGTATTACCCCGATTTTACAAATGAGAAAACAAGCAGAAACAAGGTAACTTATCCCAGCTCACATAGCAATAAGCAGCTGAGCTAGGATTTGAAGAAAGGCACCCAGGTCTAAAGTCTATACTCTTGCACAGTATGCCACAGTGCCTTTCATAATGAAATGAAGCTAAGATACTAGAAGATCAGCCAGGCACGGTGGCTCACACCTGTAATCCCAGCACTTTGGGAGGCCAAGGTGGGCAGATAACTTGAGGTCAGAAGTTCAAGACCACCCTGGCCAATATGGTGAAATCCCGTCTCTACTAAAAAATACAAAAATTAGCTAGGTGTGGTGGTGCATGCCTGTAGTCCCAGCCACTCGGGATACTGAGGCACGAGAATTGTTTGAATCTGGGAGGCAGAGGTTACAGTGAAACTTCCACTCCAGCCTGGGTGGGAAAAAGAAAATACCAGAAGATCCTAAAATGCTTACTAAATCATCTAAAAAACACTACACTGTGCTCAAAAGTAACATTAATATCCAAGTATGCTTTATTGGTTCAAATGCTAGAAGAATTGGTTCATCCAAATCCAATACTTTCCAGTTAATCAATTCCCCATCCCCCAGTCTGTGTTTTTCTCATAAGACCTTCTGTGTATTTTCATGTCACTTTCACATAACTATGTGTGTTCCATATGCTTCAGGGTCATTCCAGATAGAAAATAAGAAATTAGGCAGAAGGAAAAAGATTGACTTTTTTTGTTTTTGTTTTTTGAGACACGTTTTCACTCTGCCCTCCAAGCTGGAGTGCAGTGGCATGATCACAGCTCAATGCAGCCTCAAACTCCTGGGCTCAAGGGATCCTCCCATCTCAGCCTCCCAAGTAGCTGGGACTATAGGCACAGCACCACGCTCAGCTAATTTTTTAATTTTTTGTAGAGACCAGGCTGGTCCCAAACTCCTGGGCCCAAGCAAGTCTCCCACCTCAGTCTCCCAAAGTACTGAGATTATAAGCATGAGCCATCACCTCCAGCCTGACAATTTTTCTAGGAGAACAAAAACAAAGTAAGTCCTACTTGCTACTTTAAAGTACCACATGTGAATATTCAATGATGTTTCATTGAAATTGGAAACTAGAGAAGTACTAAAAATGAAGTCTATTATTTTTCTTAACCAAATGAAATGTTTCAGTTTATCATTTTTAAGAGAATTTCTCTCTTGCCTTCTTTTTGGTCCCTCCTTGGGATCTCAAAGATGCATATTCAAGAGGTCTTTTGAAAACAATGCAGCTGAAGAAATTTCCTCTTCTTTTAGTTCAATTTTACAAAAATTAAAATGAATAGCACAAACGACTCAACTCCAAATGCATTTTCATCTACTTACAGTGCTGTAGCTTGTGATACAAGGAACAAGAGTATGTCAGGGACTCAGAAGATCTGTCAGAGCTGGCCATTAACCCACAGCTGTGGGCAGTGGCCCATCCACCAGTGGGCATTCAAATATCTGCCCCGAACTTTACACAGTGAAACGTCCAGAGACCTTCATCCCCTTTGGATGCAAGAGACAGAGTACAGATTCAGTCATGAGCTGACTGTCATTTAGATGGAAGAGGTCTTCTCAAACCGGCTGGCCTTTCCCTCAGGAGAAGCTTAATTTCCTCAGATGTATTTTCTTGACATTTCAGTTTACAAAGACGCTTCACTTCATACTCCCTTTCGAGTTTGATGGCTGAAAAAGAAAATACACAAAACAATCTGACATACATTTTTCATCAGGCACAACTAAGTCAAAACTGAATATCATACAGCAAAATCCATATGCTTGAATAATAAACAAGATGACAGAGCTACAAAGATAGGAGGTATGGGTGTAAATACACAGATTTAAACATTTCTCTGATAAGCAAATGACACACACAATTTATAACTTATTAAAGCAGAACTTAAGGAACTTACATTCTGCAGAAGGGAGCAGTCCATCTTTAACGGTGTTACATTTTGTGAGCTGCACAGAACCACCAAATGAAATTTCTTCCAAGAAAGGCAACTTGATATTGGCTAGGTTTGTGTACCAGTTCTTTGCAAGCAGTGCAAGATCCCAAGGTTCCTGTCTGGGGCAAAAGTTCATTAATGCATTCAATAAATGTTGATTAAGCACCTACCATGTGAGATGTAGAAGACATTAATTCTCGGTTCCATCTGCCACTAGACATTTTGGTTTATGGGGTGGGGAGCTGTTCAGAATTTTCCAGAGTTGTAATTCCAGACAGGAGAGGGAGATTTATGTTAACTAATATAGAGATAATACTGAACAATGACCAGAAATTACACCAGGAACTTTGATTCAGCCTCCATGAAGTCAATCCAGTCTTTCCATGTAAGAGGATGTAGATGCCTATAATCCCAGCACTGTGGGAGGCAGAGGCAGGAGGATCGCTGGGGGCCAGAAGGCCAAGACCAGCCTAGGCAATGTAATGAGATCTCATTTCTACAAAAAATCAAAAAATTAGCCGAATGTGGTGGCACAGGCCTGTGGTTCCAGCTACAAAACAGGCTGCAGCAGGAGGATCACTTGAGCCCGGGAGGCTAAGGCTGAGACTGCACTGAGGTGACAGAGTGATACCCTGTCTTGATAAAAAAAAAATAAAGATCTCTAGCTGGGCATGGTGGCTCATGCCTGTAATTCCAGCACTTTAGGAGACCAAGGTGGATCACTTGAGGACAGGAGTTTGAGACTAGCCTGGGCAACAAAGTGAGACCCCATCTCTACCAAAAATAAAACAAATTCACCGGGCACTGTGGTGCGTGCCTGTCATCCCAGCTACTCAGGAGGCTGAGGTGGGAGGATCACTCAAGCCCAGGAGGTACACAACATTCCAGCCTGCACTTCAGAGTGAGACCCTGTCTGGAAAGAAGAAAGGAAGGAAGGAAGGAAGGAAGGAAGGAAGGAAGGAAGGAAGGAAGGAAGGAAGGAAGGAAGGAAGGAAGGAAGGAAGGAAGGAAGGAAGGAAGGGAAGGAGGGAGGGAGGGAGGGAGGGAGACTGAGGTGCAGAGAACAATTTGCCCAAGGTCACAAAGCCATTGGTTGTGAAGTTGGGATCTGAACCCAGGAAGTCAAACTCCAGAATCAGTGCTCTTGCCTATTAGGCTATACAAGATATATTGGAAGGCGGTGGGCAGAGCAAAGTTCAATATGATTCCATGTGTTAAAAAGACATATGTGTGTGTGTATACATGTGTGTATGTGTCTTGTGTAGCCACAGAAATTCTAGAAAACATATAAGACATTGTACCTCTGAGTGGAAATCAGGAATGGGAATGGGGAGATATATCATTTTTATCTACCTTTCATACGCTAGATGTTTTTAGTGTATTGTTTTTACAATCCTTTAAAAACACTGAATCAAAAAAAAAGCCCCAGGTAGGGAGTTACCTTGGCAAATGAACTCTAAAGAGCGCGACTACCATTCTGTTCCCCTTGACTTGGCTATTCTTATAAATAGTATGATATCAAATACTATCTTGAGAGAATGAAAGAGAATGAAATCTCTGGTGTTACAGAGATTGTTCATGACATAAAGTTCTGCATAACTAAAACCATGGAATCAGTGCTTTAAGTCATTCTCAGAAATAGGAGTATCTTCACATAAAAATTATGTTTATAATGATACTTAGTATAATGGTACTTGTCCATAGTTCAAGGTCTAAACACATACTAAACTGACAAAACTAAACAAAATGCAACAGTGAGTTTTCTCTGAATTTCCTATAGCTCTGGTTTTATAATCCCATAGGGAATCTTCATTTACTTCATAGAATATTGTTTAAAAGACAAATTCAGTTGACACCTAATCAAATGTTTAAGAGAGGAAAAGACTGCACTACAATATCACAGAGTGAAACTACTGTGTGGTTGCAACACGTGCTCACGATGCGTTCACTGGATGACAGGCAATGTGCAAGTACTTTACATACATGACTTCATTTATAATCCACACCGCATAGCCAATTGTTATATGCACCTTGCAAATGCAGAGATCAAGGAGGAAGAAGGTGGCCTTAGGGAACTGGGGGCAGGGCCAGGCTTAGAGTCCAGGTCTTCTTGATTGGAAACCATCCACTGCCTGCCAAAGTATACAGGATACAAAACCAACCCTTTCTGCCAGCTACTTAGGTGCTCTGTTAAGATACATCTGACACCGGGGCATTTTTTTGGTAGACGCGGAGGATCTAAACAAAGTTTTTTTTTTGTTGTTGTTGTTGTTGTTTTTGTTGTTTTTTTTGTTGAGACAGAGTCTTGCTTTGTCGCCCAGCCTGGAGTGCAGTGGCCGGATCTCAGCTCACTGCAAGCTCCGCCTCCCGGGTTCACGCCATTCTCCTGCCTCAGCCTCCCGAGTAGCTGGGACTACAGGCGCCCGCCACCTCGCCCGGCTAGGTTTTTGTATTTTTTAGTAGAGACGGGGTTTCACCGTGTTAGCCAGGATGGTCTCGATCTCCTGACCTCGTGATCCGCCCGTCTCGGCCTCCCAAAGTGCTGGGATTACAGGCTTGAGCCACCGCGCCCGGCCCTAAACAAAGTTTTTTAAAAGATGTGGGTGGTGGCCGGGCGCGGTGGCTCAAGCCTGTAATCCCAGCACTTTGGGAGGCCGAGACGGGCGGATCACGAGGTCAGGAGATCGAGACCATCCTGGCTAACACGGTGAAACCCCGTCTCTACTAAAAAATACAAAAAACTAGCCGGGCGAGGTGGCGGGCGCCTGTAGTCCCAGCTACTCGGGAGGCTGAGGCAGGAGAATGGCGTAAACCCGGGAGGCGGAGCTTGCAGTGAGCCGAGATCGCGCCACTGCACTCCAGCCTGGGTGACAGAGCCAGACTCCGTCTCAAAAAAAAAAAAAAAAAGATGTGGGTGGAAGCAGAAAATGCTGTCTTGGAACAAGAAGACCCCGAGTCTAGCCCTGACATTTCCTTACTACAGGACTGTGACTTTGATCAAACTTCTCTGAACCTCAGTTTTCTCACTTGAAAGTGTTGTTGTGTTGTAAAGACCAAGTAAGATAATCAGGAATGGGATTAACTTATAAAAGCAGTTGCGTTAAAAAAAAAAAAAAAAAAATCAGAACCCAGACACCTGAAAATACTTCATATAGCCCAGTATCTCATGAGGAGCATAGAGCGTCCAGTCATTTTACTTAACAAAGACACTCCCCACCCCAGTCAATGCTTACCCTGATTTTAATATATATATATATATATACTTACACATTATAACAACTACCCCGCAAAATGGTTTTCACTGTGTTCTTTCTTGGCAATCCATACGCCATGGCGAGTTATTACAGTACGACTTCCTTACGTAGGTGCCTGATGGAATGTCACAGATAACTCTGTTCACTTTACCTGAAATGATTGCAACGCACCTAATTAATGCTTCTCACATGAATATTTTGTAGCCAAACAATAGAAAAAAATTTTTCTGAATGTCAGAAAGTCCTTAATAAGTGTTCAATGAACTTGAACCCCAAATGTAAAACCATGTTCTCTTTCATTTTTCCGTGAACTCATTTTTTCATTTCTTGCCACCGAATAAGAAGAAAATGCCAGGCAAGTTTCATCATCCTGAGACAAAGTTTTGGTGTCGTGCTCTCTGCCCCTGCCTGAGCCTGCCAAACCAGCTCCAACACCGCTGCGCCAAAATGTGTCTGACCGTGGCAGTGCTGAGCGACCAAAGGCTCTGCCTGCACAGGAACCACCCGCCCCAGCCCGGGCACTTTAAGCAGAACAATCTTTCCCAGGTTTTCCCTCATTCAAAACTCTCAGCACCACTCCCGCGCCCCGCCCTTGCACGCCGATTCGGGGCGAGTCTCTTTCCCTTCCCTGGACGCGCAGAGCCCGGGAGGAACCGGTTCCCGGGACGGGTGGGGGCCTCGGCAGCCTACAGAGCCCGAGGCTAAGGGACCGGCCTCAGCCTCGGCTCCTTCCCACGCCGGAGCCCCACCCTGCCTCCGACTCGCCAGGAACGCGCTGCGGGCGCGGGGCTTCCAGGGTGGCGGGTCCCGGCGAGCCGGCGCTGGCTGCTTGGTTACCCGGACTCGAGGGGCTCAGAGGGTCGCGGCCGGGAAAAGGAGGACAGAGCGCGCCACGCTAACCGCACATGGCCGCGCACACGCCTCGGGGCCGCGCCGCGGGCACACGCGTCCTTCCCGCTCGCGGCGGGCGCCGAGTGTGGGGCCCCCCGCGTCACGCCGGAGCCTCAATAAAGGGCTTTGTGGGGCCCGCCCCACCCGTCAGGGAGGGGACGCGGGGCCCGGGAGACGCGCCCCCGCGGGGTCAGCTCTCTGGCTACAGGGCCCAGGCAGGCAGCGCTCTCGGAACCCAGCCAACCAGCCAAAGAGAGGGCTGTAAGCCAGACCTTTCCTGGGAAGGACGCTTTCCAATGTAGGGGGCTGCATCCAAGCGATCTGGACTTTGTTTGGGGGCGCCATTTCAAGAAATGTACCCAGTCCTGGCTGCTAACATCTGGGGAACCGAAGCCCTGTTGCCAGCGTTCTCACGCTGCAGTGGGCGAAGGCAGTGAGCTCAAAGCCCACGTGTGATATTTTAGGTGTTCGTGTTCACAGCAAGACAGCATCAGTTTCTAAAGTCATTATTACACTGTGGTGACTGCGTATTTCTTCATTTGAATACATCAGATGGCCACCCCTTGTGGTCAAATGAAACGAGCTTACATTTCCATTTTGGATGAGGGTTTTGATGTCAGAATAGGTTTGGAATTCTAGCTCTACCACTTAAGATTTAACTTTAAGATTTCACATATGTCACTGCTCTAAGCATCAATTTCTTCATCTATAAAACAAAGATAATGCTCTATATCTTAGAGGGTTGTTGTGAGGATGAAATATCCTGTCCTGAGATTCTTCACCACGTGATAAGTGCCTAATTGACTGTGAGCCTAATAACAACTTTATGAAATAGGCAAGAAGGATACTACTCATTATTCCAATTGTGGTGCCGACGAATGAGTTCAGGATGGTTAAAGGACTTCCCAGAGTCACATGGCAAGTTCCAAAGCCAACTTTTAAAGATAAACACAGATGGGCCGGGCACGGTGGATGGGCCAGGCGCGTGGCTCATGCCTGTAATCCCAGCACGTTGGGAGGCCGTGAGGGGCGGATCACGAGGTCAAGGAGTTCGAGACCAGCCTGGCCAACATGGTGAAACCCTATCTCTACTAAAAATATAAAAATTAGCCAGGTGTGGTGGCACGCGCCTGTAGTCCCAGCTATTCAGGAGGCTCAGACAGGAGAATTGCTTGAACCTGGGAGATTGAGGTTGCAGTGAGCCGTGATCGCACCATTGGCACCACTGCACTCCAGCCTGGGCAACAGAGTGAGACTCCGTCTCAAAAAATAAATAAAAATAAAAATAAACACAGTAACCTTTCCACCTGACAAGCAACTTCTGATCCTTCTAATTAGAGTAGGCTCGCGGGGCTGACCCATCTTTCAAAGGTGCTTTTGTGCCTCCCAGAAACTGGAAGGTGAGGACTCACTCACTCGCTCTTCAGCATTTCTGCTCTACCACCAACGAAAAGTGAGCACCGAGGAGGGAGGGCGGATGTTTTCTTTCCACAAAGAATGTTGAAACCCTTGATGGACTGTGAGACCAGTGTACTACAGATTTTGGCCTGAATTTTTATTTTTTTATTATTTTTTTGAGACGGAGTCTTGCTCTGTCGCCCAGGCTTGAGTGCAGTGGCGGATGTCAGCTCACTGCAAGCGCCGTCTCCCGGGTTCACGCCATTCTCCTGCCTCAGCCTCCCGAGTAGCTGGGACTACAGGCGTCCACCACCACGCCCAGCTAATTTTTGAATTTTTAGTAGAGATGGGGTTTCACTGTGTTAGTCAGGATGGTCTCGATCTCCTGACCTCGTGATCCGCCCGCCTCAGTCTCCCAAAGTGCTGGGATTATAGCCGTGAGCCACCGCGCCCGGCCTTTGGCCTGAATTTTTAAAAATGAGTTAGCATAGAATGGCGAATAAAATTAGAGTACATCACACAAATAAGTGTAAGAAGGTATTGTTTTGTGGCACTTTCATTTCTGTTATATGTAAAACACGCGTACATGTGTGTGTGTTCAGGCTCAATGTACAGCCCTTACAATGGGTCTAAAAAATTTGAAAGGCAATTTCTTAGGTGATTTTATTTTAGAGATGAAAAAACAGGGACAGAGAAGTTATTTGAGGTTATATCAAGATAGGGAACAGGCCACCTTAGAATTGAAGCTCCTCATGGTTCTATGGCATGATCTCTTTTTATAGATGTAGAAATAGGTCCAGAGCCACACTGGAAGAGGTCATGCCTGTGATTTATTTATACAGGAACTCCATTTCCAGCATATGTATAAAATTCCTGACAATTGTGTTTAGTTATTTCCTGTGTGACTCGCTATGAACAAATATGGTGGACATTACAGCCTATGACTTCTGAGATAAGGTCATAAAAGGTATTGTAGCTTCCTTCTTGCAGTCTCTCCTGGGTCACTCACCCTAGGAGAGACTGGCTGCCATTTGAAAGGACACTCAAGCTGCCTTATGGAGAAATTATTATGGAATTGTAGCTTTTGCCACCAACCATGTGACTGAACCATCTTGGAAGCAGATTCTTCAAGGCCCAGTCGAGCCTTCAGATAACTTTAGCCCAACTGAGGTCTTGACTGAAACTTCATGAGAAATGCTGAGCCAGAACCACCCAGCTAAGTCACCCCAGCATTCCTGGCTTTCAGAAAATATAGGATAATAAAGATTCATCATAGTTGGGCACAGTGGCTCATGCCTGTAATCTCAACACTATGGGAGGTTGAGACAGCAGGATCACTTGAGCCTGGGAGTTCAAGACCAGCCTGGGCACCATAGTGAGACCCCATCTTTACAAAAAGTAGAAAAAAACTTAGCTGGATGTGGTGGCACACACCTGTAGGCCCAGCTACTCCAGAAGCTGAGGCAGGAGGATCCCTTGAGCCCACGAGGTCGAGGCTGCAGTGAGCCATGATCACCACCGCACTCCAGCCTGAGTGGCAGAATGAGACCCTGTCTCAATTAAAAAAAAAAAAAAGAAATCATTATTTCCTCATTTTAAGCTACCAACTTTTGAGATAATGGTTACACAACAATAGATAGCATTAGATAGCAATAGATACCACTAAATATCTTATTGTAGAAGGAATGTTTTATATAGAGGAAAATGGTCATAGTTTCATAATTAAGATTAATGCTAAAATTAAAATGAACAGTAAAACACATTACACTTTACAGACATTTGCCATCCAGGACCACTTAAGATCCTTAATATTGTCAACACAAAAAAACACATGGTATCTGCCACTTCCCTGTATGTATTTTAAAATAATACAATTTTCTAGAAGGTGCATATCCAAAAGAGATCTGGTTTCCTCACAATGACTATTTCAGTATATCCTTTTGAAATATCAAATTCTTTCTACAATTTCTTTCTCTCTCTCTCCCTCTTTCCCTCTATTTCTATCTCTGTCTCTGTTGATGTCTCTATACATATCTCTATTGCTATCTCTATTCATCTTTTCCCCCTGCTTTGCTGGTGTCCTACACACATCTTCCTATTAGGTAAGGCTTCACCCATCTCTTCTACGCCAGAAAATTAGCGAGTATCGTTTTAATTGGTTAAGAGAGCATTGCTGCCACCTAGTGTTAAAACTAAAGCACAAGAAGGAATGCAAAAGATAATCATCAACACCTAACACAGAAACAATAATAGTGTGGTAACATTTACTATGTTTTAAGTACTGTTCAATGTACTTCATATACATTGCCTCACTTAATTATCACACAATAAATGCTACTATTAATTTAGGGGTGGGATTTTAGGGATATTAGAGAAGAAAAAATGGCGGTACCTCAACCACGAATAACTTTTCTAAGGTCACAGGATTTGAACCCAAGACTGCCTTATTCAGTCTTTTTTTTGTGCTGTCCTCATCACACAGCACTACATATTCTCCCAGGACTATAATTAGGGCAAGGTTTTAGATTATACATTTGAAAACATTTTCGCAACTACCCTTTTCAAATATTATGATAATTTCTCATGACATACATGTATATATGTGTATGTATCGTCATTCTAGTTTCTAAAAGTGACATTTTATTTCTTTTAACTTAATGTGTAAATCACAAAATGCAGCTTACAGTTTTCTAATGGCTATTATAAAACCTCTCTAGTAATGACACCAATTCTAGGATAATGACAAAACAACACATCTTCAAAAACTTTAAAATCACCAAATAACAGTCTTAAATATTCTCTACCTTTCTGTACTAGTTTCTATTTGTCTCACCTGTCTGGCCACTCCTGTGCTTATTTCTCTCATTCTTCTCTCCCTTAAATGTATGTCTGCCCATAATCCATTTGTTCTGCCTCAGTACTCTCAGCGGCTCTGCTCTCACTAATGTAACTACCATTTCTCATTGGATGGGTCCCAGATCTGATTCTCTAGCCAGCCTTGGCTTCTCTCCTAGATGCATATCAGTTTGTGGCAACCTCCTACTGGACTATCTTGTTCAGACGAAAATTTCAACATAACCAAAATGTAATTCACCTCCTACTCATTAACCATCTCCTCTGTCTATCTTTTCTATTTCTGGGAATGGCCCATGAGTCTCCTATGAGCCAGGCTTAGAGGACTGGAGTCATTTTTAAAGTATATTGCTGGCCACCTACTCCATGCTAGCCATCATTCTTCGCCACTTTACACTGCATCTGATCCTCACAGATTAAGGGGGAAGAAACTAATACTTTCCCTAGTACAGTTAAGGGGGAAAAAAAGTTTAAAGGGCTATAAAATGGCCAGGCAAAGCAGTTCATTCCTGTAATCCCAGCACTTTGGGGGGCCGAGGTATGTGGATCACTTGAGTTCAAGAGTTCAAGACCAGCCTGAGCAGCATGGCGAAACCCTGTCTCTACAAAATACACAAAAATTAGCTGGGTGTGTTGGCACGTACCTGTAGTTCCAGTTACTCAGAAGGTTGAGGTAGGAGGATTGCTTGAGCGTGGGAGGTGGAGGTTGCAGTGAGCTGAGATTGCGTCACTGCACTCCAGCCTGGGTGAATGAGTGAGACTCTGTCTCCAAAAAAAAAAAAGAAAGAAAAGAAAAGAAAAAATACGTACAT